CCCCAAATCTTGCATTCTCCAGGTGATTCTGCTGTCTAGCTCAACAGGATTTGCCCCCAGTCCTAGCCCTTGCCAGCTGATGCTGCAGCAAAGCCCACCCCACCTGCTCTTATTCTGGCTCATGCCTGCATCAGTGGATATAATTGGATAACCCAGCCTGGCTCTCCCCTAACCCAGTTCACATTCAGGCCAACAGGTGTTGTGGCCCTACCAGTTGGTCTGCTCCCAGTCCCAGCTCTCATGCTCACCAGTAGGAGCAGCAGCTCAGCAGGGGAGTACCCACTACCAGGCTCACCTCCGTCCCGGTCTCATGTGTGCTGGTGGGTGCTGTGGCCTAGTGTACAGTGGTCTGTCTCACCTTGGCATTTGCCAGCAAGTGCTTAGCCTGGCCCGGCCCGGTCTGCCCCCTTGCAGCTTGCACTGGCGGAAGCTGCTGCCCAATCTGGCACAGGGCTGAGCAACTCTTGTGCCACCCATTTGAGGGTGTGACCAAGAGGTCAGTGGGCTTGGCTGCTCTCACTGAGCTCTTTTCCAGAGTCCTGGATGTAACTGGACAGAACCAGGTAGAGCCAACCTTGTCACTGGGGCTTGTGCACACCAGTTCCAACTGCCTACTGTTACTGTAGCTTGTTACTGTGATAAATGACACACTTTGTGTCACACCTCCTGTGATATTTCAGCAGCTATCTTTGAGTTTATGATGCACACAAAGGCAGGATTTGTCGGCACCCGTGTTCAAAAGATTTGCCCTTTTTCCTTTCCTCTTAGCACAGGGTCCACTGGCTTTGCTTCAGGCAGATCGGGACCCTAACACCACGAATTCCCAAACCGCTGTGCATGGGGAGACTGACTTGAACTTTGACCTTTTTGCTATATGCCTGAAATTAGTGAACAATGGGTGTCCTCTTTCCCGTGAATCCAGAGGCTTGCAGTAATAATGGGCTTCCTGTGTGCTAATCGGATAGGGGAAGGCCTTCCAGCACCCAGCAGGGACGGTAGGCAGTTAACAGGAAAGACACGATCTGTCGTTTGGACCTTGCTGAGCCGCCACCGTGCAGGGACACCTGCACAGTTCAGAGTGCATTGAGAGACACAGAGTCATGTGTCCACAAGACGAAGCGGTACAGGTTTGTGCCGTCTTTCCACTGCAAGCGAGGTTGATGGGTTCTAGAAGATGCTCCCAGCACACAATCCTAAACTGACTGCTGTGGGGCCAGAAGTAAAGCTATTCTATTTGTGCCACTATGTCTTTCCCCAAGCAGGTTGCTCTGATTTTCCAAAAGTACCAGAGCTTACACTTTCTCAGCACTGTAATGGCTGACCAACATTTTTGTGTTTTAAGAAACATCTTCATGAAGAACTTTCTTCTCTGGGTAGGTACTCTGGGTCATTTCCCAGGGTCTACAGTGTTTAAAGGAAGTTCTGGATTTTTTTCCTTATTATTCAGTCTCTGCTTCTGTGTCTACCCAACATCAATCCCAACATGACCATTGGTCTTGGGGTATTGGAAGTACTAGAGAGAGGCCAGCACCATGACACAGTAGACTAAGGTACCAGCATCCCAGATGGATGCAGATTCGTGTCCTGGCTGCTCCACTTCTGATCCAGCAGTGGAGGACAGGCCAAAGCCTTGGGACCCTGCACCTGCATGGGGGACCTGGAAGAAGTTCCTGGCTTGAGATTGGCTCAGTTCTGGCCATTGTGGCTACTTGAGGAGTGAACCAGCAGATGGAAGATCTCTTTTTGTGTCTCTCCTTCTTTCTGTAACTCTGACTTTTGAGTAAAAGTAAAATAAAGAAAGTGCTGGAGAGAGAACAAGGGAAAATCATGCCCCCAGCATCCTTCAGCTCCAGGTGAGTCCGTTCAGTTTTGCCCGGGTTCCCTCTGAAATCCTTTCTGCTTCATCATCTAAGAAACTTCATACTGTCACCTCTCTTTCGAAGGACCCAGACGACCCATACCTCTCTTATCTGCCTCTTCCAACTCAGTCAAACCAGCCAATAGGAAGAAAATGAGCTTTCATGACGTGGAATTTTCTGAACCTGACGCTCCCTCTGACATGGGCAAGACTTGCCAACTCCTGCTTCACCCACGTCTCTTGGCCAGTTTCACTTGCTTGGTCCTCAGTCACCCACATGACAGAGGTACTGCTTAGACTTGACCCAGGTCAGAACCACTAGGCGTCCTGACAGAACCAGTCTGTGAGGACCCGCCCCTCTGCTTGGTCAGGAAGGGCCTTGAGGCTTACCCAAGGACACGGGAACATGTTTTTCTCCAGTGCTCACAGCTCTGGGGGCCCCTCCTGCCAGAAGGCCCTGGACACCTTCCTCTGCACCACGTGAGTGTTGACTCACTTCAGCATCAACTCACAGGGAACTCTTCCTGACCTCCCCTTCACTCCTACCCATCCAGGTCAAATTCCTCTTATTTTTTCCTCTAGTCCTTGCTTCCTTTAGCTCCACTCGGTGCCCCGAATCATGTCGTGATGTGTCACCAGAGCTCAGGATCAATGCGTGGCCCAGCTTCCTTGCCAGGGGGCACCAAAAAGATACGAGGAATCTATTCTGTTGAGTAATTGATCACCGAGCCTCCTCATAGATCAATAACTTGCATACAAAATGAGTGGACATTTTTAACTCAGGGCTTTATAAACATACTTTTTCCCAGTAGCAGCTGGCAGGCCCGGAGGCACAGTTGCATTTTACATGAAAGGTTATAACTTCACCAGCAAGGAGAGGTGTTGACTCACAGGAGTTCAACAACGTTATCCTGGCAGCTAACTTCTCAGCCAGCAAAACATTCTCGGGTTTGAGTCCTGCCAGCAGGCCCCAAGGTCACCGAGAGTGAGGCAAACGGTGTGCCTCACTGGACAAGCTGGTGAGGAATGTCTGTTTACTCAGCCCAAGTTCCGGGTTTATGAAGGTTTAAGAAGGGCGGGTAAGAGGGTGTTTTCATATGACATTGTGATTGAATGAAAAACATACGTAATTCTGTTGAGCTTCCAATCATATCAGAGGTCACGTCCCATTTACAGGGTTGGAAGTACTTAAACCTTAGACCACGGCAGATAAACTCTAGGTCTTGCCCACCAGGTGGCAGGCAGAGACCCTGGCGCAATTTCCCACAAAACATAACCGATTTTCTTAGCTGCATTTCACACCTGCAATGACTTAGCAAGTTCCTTTGATAATTTTCCTCAAATCTGCATTTTGTCTTTAGTCAAGCATCCTTGCGACCCACACCACACACATTCCACAGATCTTATCACAGATAACAGCACCCACTTTGTGGCTTAAGCCTTCATATTAGATCTTTTTAATTGTTCCCAGTAATCAAGGCTCAGCAATTAACTGGTGGATGAAGTGGGGACAGGTGGAATGGAAGCACGTAATGCACTTTTATTAAAGTCTTTCCAAGTGTTTGTGATTCCTGCTTTTAAAGGTCTGTTACTGACCTCACAGGATAGTTCGCAATGTAAGCCATTATTTGAAGTGAAGCCTAGAAGTTTTCTCCTTTGATGTTTAACACAAATGTGATCATGAAACTTTCCGGAAATCTTTCAACTTTTAACACTTCTGCCCAAGTTTACAGGACACAGCTGCCTGTGGCTTCTATGCTGATGGGTAATATCTCAAGGTAGGACTTGATCCCAGAATAATGAAGGAGCTGCTTTTACGTTGTCCATATTTACACCCACAAGCCCTCACGGAGTATTTACTCCCCCTATACGTAGCCTTTCTCCTCAGTCTTTTTTCAGAATCCCTAAATCTCCCATCAGCCAACACCGCTGAGCTCGCACTTGCCTCTCCTACAGCTTGCACTGCGCTCCAATTCCAGTCCTTTCATCTTTGTCTCCCCATCTAGAAGTCAGCTTGTATGACCCACCAGGGCTGGGGCCATGGCTCAGTGGCAGCCAGGCCTGCAACTTTAACACTTGGAGTGAGCACACGTGTTCCTGGAAACAGGCAGAAGTTTGAAGTTCAGCTTCGTTTCCAGTTAACTAGGCAAAGTGGAAACAGCTGAAGTCAAAGTTACTTTGTATAACCACACAGGCTATTGCTTAAGAGGCAGTTGGCACGTCCCACACCTGATTCTGCCCCACACAGAAAACTGCTCACAGAACATCCCGTTTGTTGCCCCTACAGGCAGAGTTCCGAAACCAGTCAAGCCACATTCAAGACCGCTGCGCAGCTGCACACCATCCCCAAATGCCCAGCCTCCATTACCACCCACCAAGACTGACACTAAACCGTGTCCCAGCTCCTTGCAGGCAAGGTGGGTGGCTCTGAAAAGAGCCGTTGTTCTTCTTGGGCGACTCCCCGACTCACTTGGCCTTGTGGTGACTCTCGGTCTTCTTGGGCAGCAGCACGGCCTGGATGTTGGGCAGCACGCCGCCCTGCGCGATGGTGACCTTGCCCAGCAGCTTGTTGAGCTCCTCGTCGTTGCGGATGGCCAGCTGCAGGTGTCGCGGGATGATGCGCGTCTTCTTGTTGTCGCGCGCCGCGTTGCCCGCCAGCTCGAGGATCTCGGCCGTCAGGTACTCGAGCACGGCCGCCAGGTAGACGGGCGCGCCGGCGCCCACGCGCTCGGCGTAGTTGCCCTTGCGCAGCAGCCGGTGCACGCGGCCCACGGGGAACTGCAGCCCGGCCCTGGAGGAGCGAGTCTTGGCCTTGGCGCGCGCCTTGCCGCCCTGCTTCCCGCGTCCGGACATGGTTACCTAAGATGCTCCGCAAGCAGCTGGTAGAGCTAAGGTGAAAAAGCTGGCAGTACTTATAGCCATCACTGGGCGCGAAAAACAAGGTGTGTCATTGGTCAACATTTGAAATTTCATTCTAACCAATGGGAAATGAGCGTCTTTATCTACACATCCTGATTGGACAGAACTCCCCATTGACGTACTCTGAACAAGTACCAATCAGACAGAGACATCACTTTCACTTCATTTGCATATACGATACTATAGAAAAACAACACACGGGCTTTTGCTTCCAGTTCGTTGGTGGTTGCATTGCAAAATGCCTGACCCTGCGAAATCGGCTCCGGCCCCGAAGAAGGGCTCCAAGAAGGCGGTGACCAAGGCGCAGAAGAAGGACGGCAAGAAGCGCAAGCGCAGCCGCAAGGAGAGCTACTCGGTGTACGTGTACAAGGTGCTGAAGCAGGTGCACCCGGACACGGGCATCTCGTCCAAGGCCATGGGCATCATGAACTCGTTCGTCAACGACATCTTCGAGCGCATCGCGGGCGAGGCGTCGCGCCTGGCGCACTACAACAAGCGCTCGACCATCACGTCCCGCGAGATCCAGACGGCCGTGCGCCTGCTGCTGCCCGGCGAGCTGGCCAAGCACGCCGTGTCCGAGGGCACCAAGGCCGTCACCAAGTACACCAGCTCCAAGTAGATCATCTTTCACAGATCCCGTCACACCCAAAGGCTCTTTTCAGAGCCGCCTCCTTTGTCGTGGGAGAGCTGCCAGCACTGGCTGGGTTCCTGACCGTTTGGGAAACCATACAGTTGCTTTTGGGGCTGGAAAAGTCTGCTTCGTTGCGTGATTGAGGGAAAATGGTGTTTCGGCGAGCTGGGCAGGAAAAAGTCTGGGCATTTTTTTCAGCTCTTGGGACTGAAAAAATGGTAGTAGGCTGAGGCATTGCTTCCTATTAGCCTAACAATTTAAAAAGAGTTTGCGTTTTCTCTAATATTGTTTTCTGTTGAGGCGTTATCTGCAGTGGCTACCCAAGGTATCCCACCTCTGCACAATCGCGGTTGAGTTGGGTGACATGCTGGATCACAATTGCTCAGCAGTGTAGACCTTCGTTAGGTTTAGAACTTGCTAAACGGGGCTTCGATGTAGAGGTCCGCTGTTGGATGGAGATGGTTGACCCAGGGTTAACTGACAGCACAGAAATGTGTCTAAGCGTACACGTATACAACTTGGGTGTGTTTGGTTGTCCTTTGCATTGTGCTGTTCTGAGGGATGCAGTCGGGAGACAGGAGATCAGTTTGGCCTGTTGGAAATGTGTCTGATTAGTCGGGCCGAGTCCGGATTCTTTAGCTGTGCAGAGCATGCTCACTTCAAGGTCGAATCTTGGCCTGTTCATAAGCAGTTGTTGCTCATTTTTCAGATAAGTAACAAACGGCACATCTGATTCAAAGGCAGAACCAGCCTGCAACATGTATCTGCTTTCTCCCTTGCACCACGAATCTTTGCCTTTTTTTGGCTATATCTATTATTTCAAAGGATTTAAAGAATTTTTCACTTTATTTGAAAGTAAGGCTGAGAGGAGAGAGAGTTCAGCTGCTGTTTATTCTCCAAATGTCCATGACCGCCAGGACTGGGCCAGGTGGAGGCCAGGCGCTCTCACCTGCTGCCCTGGGAGGCATTTTCACACTAAACAATTGCAAACAGAAGCTGGGACTCGCACTTGGCCTGAGCACTCTGGCACTGCATGTGGGTGTTCTAGGCAGAGTCAACTCACTGCCTCAAATGCCTGCTGCCCATTGCATATATCAGTTTGATTTAATTTTGAATAAAAGTAAGCCTCTTATTTTTATGTTGCTCAATGAATATCTTCTAAAATCACGTTTCTAAACGCAAGTAGTTCATTGTTGTGTAACTCTGAATCGCAACAATTAGATTCAGTTGTTGCTAGAACCAATTCCTTCCTCCAGCTTCAGCCGTGCGAAAGCCCTGGCGGCTCTGGGATGGAAACAAGGAAAAGGATTTTAATGTTGGACTTTGTGGTCAGACTTGGCATCCACTTTATGGTCTGGGTATTGTCTGCTTCTTCTAAAAAGTATAAGCAAGACGTCAAAGGGCCCGGAAGACCACGTTGCTTTCTTCCTCAGACGAGCTGGAAAAACACAGCCACTTGCTTAAAACAAAGAGCTAATTTCACAGAATTTCTTGTGAGGAGTAAAACCTAATTACTTTCATTCTGATCACACCTGAAGTGGGGCTTTTGTTTCTTTAGGAATACAAGCGGTGGGGAAAAAATTGTTCTTCAGCTTTTTTTCTGTCACTTTCTCATTTTTTTCCTGAACCAGAATTTTTTGGCTCTGAATTAGTACATTTTATTCTGAAAGTTTGAAGCATTTGTTACTCTAAGCTGCCTGCCCACTAGAAATAAAATGTAATTTTCTAATAAACACATTAAAAAGGCATGCTTTGATCCATATGCCAACTTTATTTAGTTCAAAGTATACTTAATACTGAATACACTAAATAGACGTCTTGCATTCTTTTTTCCAAAGCAAGTTTTCAAGTGCATTTTACACTTAAAGTACATCCAAAATTCAACTCAATTTCAGTAGCAATTTAAATATTGTTAAATTTAAGTTTAGGGGCTGGCTCTATGGTGTAGTGGGTCAGCATTACTTACGGGCACAGGTTCCAATTCTGGTCACTCCATTTGCAGCCCGTCTCCCTGCTAAGGTAACCGGGAAAGCAGAGACGTGTGGTCCATGTGCTGGGACCCTGCACCCACTTGGGAGACCTGGATGAAGCTCCCGGCTCCTGACTTCAGATCAGCTCAGCCCCAACCACTGTGGCCATTTGAGGAGTGAACCAGCAGATGTTAAACCTGTGTCTCTACAACTCTGCCTTGCAAATAAATTTTTTAAAATTTACAATTGACTAGATTCCTTGCCACAGATATTTCAAACATGCCTGGAAGTTGTATGTATATTTCACACATACCCCCAAATGTCAGGCCAGCCCACAGCCCGAGATAATCTATTTCTGTTACGATGGAGACCAGCAGATCTGGTGCTTGTCGGGATACATTTCCCCAAATTTTCCACTATGGGAATAGACCCACCCCCAGCACGTGAGAATCTTCCCGTACACCGAAGTTGTTACAAAGTGTAACATTTTTTGACTTGGATATTTGATTTTATCATTTTAAAGTTTTTTGTTTAATTAAAAAAAAAAAAACCTTAATTGCAAGGCAGAGATGCAGAGCGGTCCCCTTGGCCGTGGCTGGCTCATTCCTAAGAAGCCTGCAACAGGAGACCCGCAGCTTGAAGCTGCTCTCGCACTCTGGCAGGAACCATCGCACTGTCACCTGCGGCCTCCAGCAGGAAACTGGAGCGGCCAGCAGGTGGGCCTTCAGTGCAGGCATGTCCCCAGCTGCACCCCAAACGCAGTTACCCCTGGATGTTGCCATTTTCAAACGGAGATAATAAACCGTAAAAATGGCAACAAAATCTCAGGAGAGTAACTTGAAACAATTCATGCCAGGTACTTACTGCAGGTTGAGCCGTTCAGGCCACCTGGAACGCCTTCTGTCTATCAGCCTTGGTCTCTTATGCAGCTTTATAAACGTTAGGCATTTAGGGAAACATGGCTTGGTAAGAGAACGGGCAGATAAATCTGTGTCCTTAGCACGTTTTTATTTTCTTGCAGCTATTTCAGAAACGTTACTGTCATGTTCAAACTAAAGCAGAAGTATTTTAAACGTTTCTTGGAATAAGTCGACACAAATCTAGGGGATGTAAAGGGAACACACACACCTCCTGTACCAAATGGCAGCCAAAGTATAAAACCATAATGCAATATCTTTACATTAAGTATCACTAGTTTGAAAACCAAATTTACCACATGTTAATAAAGCATTCAGAACCAAATCCTCACATCAAAAAAGCTCCCAAACTGTAAGAGGCCATTTCCCGGAGAGGGCAAAAATCCGAAATAGCCACAAAACCCATAAAAAAAGTAGTTGTTATAAGAGATGCAATGAGGTGACTGTTGGAGACCTTGGTCAGGCATCTACAGATTTGGATGGAGAGCAACACTACGTGGAAAGCGGCTCTAGTGAAAACGGGAATTGTGGAAAGCTAGAGTATTCACATACACTACTAACGGGTCAATGGACACTGGAGCGCACAAAGCCGCTGCGAAAAATGAACACTTGCCTGTCCCAGGAGATCAAATAAGACCTTGTTGTTGCAGATAGCTCAGAAATTGCTTGACCGAGAAAAAAACCAGCTAGAATTTCGCTATATAAGTTAGGAATCCACAGAAGGTGTAAACACCCAGAGGCCAATAGAAGTACATAAACACTACAGACGCAGGAAGACGACAGTAACTGATAAAAGGACCGCCCGGGTGTCTGCAGCCTAGCCTTCCTCCCTCAATTACAGTAACTAAGAGGGAACGAGCCACAGCAGCGTCCAGCTCCTCTGTGACTGCATGGGCGGCCCTGAAAAGGGCCTTTGTGTGATGGCGTCTGAAGCAGTGAAGGAAGGGAGCAGCTCAGCCGCCGAAGCCGTAGAGCGTGCGTCCCTGGCGCTTGAGCGCGTAGACCACGTCCATGGCCGTGACCGTCTTGCGCTTGGCGTGCTCCGTGTAGGTGACGGCGTCGCGGATGACGTTCTCCAGGAAGACCTTGAGCACGCCGCGCGTCTCCTCGTAGATGAGCCCCGAGATGCGCTTGACGCCGCCGCGGCGCGCCAGGCGGCGGATGGCGGGCTTGGTGATGCCCTGGATGTTGTCGCGCAGCACCTTGCGGTGGCGCTTGGCGCCGCCCTTGCCCAGGCCCTTGCCGCCCTTGCCACGACCAGACATGTTTCCGCAGGAGTCCGAGAGCGAAGACACCCCAGCCACCGAGTGGCTCTCTTTTATAGGCAATGTTCGCGGACCGGAGTGGGAACAGAAAGAGGAAGTCCCTCCAGGCTAGGGTAGGGACTTCCTGCTGTGCCCACACCCTGTCTTAGACAAGGCCGGGGCTTTTAAACATTATTTTTATGAAAAGGAAAACAATTTCACCTCATGGAAGTGAGATAAAAAGCCGAAAGGATAAGCACTCCGTTTTATTCAACACTATTTTGTCATGCCTTTCTTCTTGATACAGGGGAGAAAATATATTCTGTATACCGCACGTATGAACATTTTTTAAAACAGAAGATGGGCTGATACCATGAAAAACTTTTAAGGTCGTCCAGTTTGTGGTTAAATTACGCTGATCTGTTATATAGAAGTAACTTTAAAAAGTTAAAACTGGTTAATCAGTGCAATGTACTAAGAATTGCATATTTTCCCCAGTGATGTGAATATTAAATGCTATGTAACACAAGCTGTGTAGGTCACTGAAGATTATTTAAAAACTTGACTGTAATTGTCACCACATATTTTTCTTCAAAAATTCTCAATTTCTACTACTTTTGAAGTCACAAAGAACTTTTTTCAAGTTATAACACTTATTTAGGAGATAATTAAAACTGTAAAGCCGGTACAAGCATTGGGGTTTGTTCTCTTTGAGACACGGTGTCCTTACTAGCCGGAGAATGCCCATGCTCTCCATCAAATGAAGGTGTTATCCAAGTCTGTGTGTGTTTTCTGAAAATACATAATTGCAAAATATGGGGGGGACCCCCCTTTTATTTTCAAGAATGATTAATTTTCATGCACAGATAGAATTCAAGGAAAAAAGTATAATCTTTTATTGAAAGAAGATACTTGGACCATCTCTGGTCACACATGCATTTGGGGTCAGCATTTGGCGCCACGGTTGGATGCCTCCCAGGACGCACACATCCCACGTAGGAGTGGCCGGCTAAGCCCTACTCCTTCACCTCCGAAGCAGCCTCCTGCTCATGTGCCCCTGGTAGGCAGCAGGCAAGGAGCGGGGGCAGGTACCTGGCACAGTGCCACTCACCTGCAGAACCCCCGCTGCGGTCCCGGCTCCAGGCTTCAGTCTGCCAGTCTCCAGGCATCTGGGGAGTGGGGCAGCAGGTGCTGGACGCATCTCTTTTTTTTTTGGAAAGGTTGTATCTACTTGAACGGCAATGTAACAAATAAAACTCCATCGGTCGGTTTACTTCTGGAATGGCTGCAGAACCTGGGGCTGGGCCAGGCACCATCTTCCAGGTGAATTATAGAGGTCCAAGCATTTGTGCCCTCCTTCTGCTTCTCCAGGGGCAGTAGCAGGGAGATTGAAGTGGAAATCCACCTGCTGTGCCTGCTACAACCCTTCTGTACCTCTCAAATAAAACGCAACCATGTAATGGCATTTGTACAGGGCAGTATGATTGGCGCAGCTGGTAGACAGCAGAGTCCTGCTCGTTCTGCTGGGGTTGAACTCCTAGCCTCCAGGGGTTTCCTCTTGGTGGGCAAGGGAGCCATAGGGAGGTCTGTGCTGGAGAGGGACGTTTGGGTGGAAAATGTTTTCATGCCTTCAAACATTAACCTTTCACTAAGTTTGGGACAAACGTCACAATTGCAAGTTACTGTGGCCTAAGATCACCGGATCACGCCAAGTGATTTTAAGCAAGGGCAATTTTTCACTCCTGTTTGACTCAGCGGAACGTCCACGTCGTTCGCAGTGCACAGTCCTTTCAGCAAAAATTGGGTGGCTCTGAAAAGAGCCTTTGGGTTTGGGGTGGTCGGTAGGAGGTGCGCTTCACTTGGCCTTGGCCTTGTGGTGGCTCTCGGTCTTTTTGGGCAGCAGCACGGCCTGGATGTTGGGCAGCACGCCGCCCTGCGCGATGGTGACCTTGCCCAGCAGCTTGTTGAGCTCCTCGTCGTTGCGGATGGCGAGCTGCAGGTGTCGCGGGATGATGCGCGTCTTCTTGTTGTCGCGCGCCGCGTTGCCCGCCAGCTCGAGGATCTCGGCCGTCAGGTACTCGAGCACGGCCGCCAGGTAGACGGGCGCGCCGGCGCCCACGCGCTCGGCGTAGTTGCCCTTGCGCAGCAGCCGGTGCACGCGGCCCACGGGGAACTGCAGCCCGGCCCTGGAGGAGCGAGTCTTGGCCTTGGCGCGCGCCTTGCCGCCCTGCTTCCCGCGTCCAGACATGGCGATTTGGCAGAAGTGGTCAGAGTAGCTGAACGCTGAGCGACTGCAGAAGCTATACAGTTATACTCTACTGCGGTTTCGAAATTCAGCCAATGAAAGAGCTGGAGTGGAAAAAAAAACCAAACACGAACGCTCTTCCTAATTTACATAAAACGTTCGAGGTCAAAGTTCACATTTAGGAGCGCAGCTACGGAAAGAGCCAATGAGAGTTTGGAATAAAGAAATAGCCTATCAGAGGCGAAGGTACTAGAATGGCCAATCAAAACGTGTAGTTCTGGGATCCTTAACTTACATAAATAGCAGGCAAACACTGAGGTGTTTACTGCGTCTTAGCGTTTTGTTCTTTCATTCTTCCGGTTCTTGTGCGAGGCTCAGCAATGCCTGACCCTGCGAAGTCGGCCCCGGCCCCGAAGAAGGGCTCCAAGAAGGCGGTGACCAAGGCGCAGAAGAAGGACGGCAAGAAGCGCAAGCGCAGCCGCAAGGAGAGCTACTCGGTGTACGTGTACAAGGTGCTGAAGCAGGTGCACCCGGACACGGGCATCTCGTCCAAGGCCATGGGCATCATGAACTCGTTCGTCAACGACATCTTCGAGCGCATCGCGGGCGAGGCGTCGCGCCTGGCGCACTACAACAAGCGCTCGACCATCACGTCCCGCGAGATCCAGACGGCCGTGCGCCTGCTGCTGCCCGGCGAGCTGGCCAAGCACGCCGTGTCCGAGGGCACCAAGGCCGTCACCAAGTACACCAGCTCCAAGTAGATTTGGTACGTAAGCGTCTTTACTTGCATCCAACTCCAAAGGCTCTTTTCAGAGCCACCCACATTGGCAGAAAGAGCTGGTGCTTGTTCTGTGTTTCCTGTTTTTAATAAACATTTTGTACATCACCTAGCTAGGGCGGAAATCTGGATCTTTTGTGTCGGCTTTCTTCCTGTAACTGCAAGGGCCTTCCACCAGTTTTTATACGTGCCTTAGTCACATAACCATAAAATCAGTGTTGAAGCCCCTGTGTACTAAGGGGGACTGGACTAGTAGTTCTGGGTTGCAAAGAGCTGTCCAGCTGCAGGTGTGCGGGAGTGTGACTTTTTTTAATCGGCAAAATCTTATTTGCACCCATGAAATGTGAATGGTAAGGAGGTGGGTTGGAAGAAAGCACAACGGGAAAATAGATGTCCAGAGGCCGAACCCCTTTAAGTCAAGATTTCCAAAGCTGTCTGTAGCTAGTGAATATAGTTCATATAAAACGGCCCTGCCCCAGCCTCGCACACAGCATGCACTTGGACTGCACTCATGCTGTGTGGATTCCTGGCAGTCACTCTCCTTCCGGAATGGAAGGATCTGCCCAGGAGAGCCAGCCTGTGGTCATTCCATGGTCCTCTGCACCGCGTTTCCCCTTATCCCCATGTGCGGATACAGGTCAAAAGCTGTGATGTAGGAAGCGCACTTGAGCGTGTTTTGCTCACAGCAACATAAGGGAAAGTGAAGCATAAGTTCTATCCCATGGCAACCCTTTCTGCATTTTCACATAAAAACTCGCCTCGGCTTTTCTTCCCTTTCTGGTTCGGGATAATAGCGATGCTAAGATAGCTTCGTATTTTCTCTGTAGCTGTAGAAAATGGTGTCCCCACTCTAAAAGTTTTCAGATGGAGTTTCAATGAAAGATGCTGATACAAACCCTTTCAACTTAAATCTGAATGTTAAATATCAGTATGAGTATTTTTTTTTTCTCTCTTTAGCAAACAAAAGAACCCACCAGCATGTGCTTTTCAGATTGTTCCCTGTCAGTAGGATGTCCCGTCGCTAGTTGCAAGGTGACCAGGAGGTTTGGGTGGTTATGGGTTCAAATATGTTTAAAAGGCTTAGCAACCCAATACCGCGTGTTTGGATCCAGAGTCAAGCAACAAATCACTGTAAAAACAGATATTTGGGGCAACTGCTGCTGGTTTATTTTCCTTTTAGGAACGACACGTTGGCTGTTATGCACCATTGCCAGTTTTCAGAGGTGTGAGATCTTGCTGTTTTCGTCACTGCTGTCTGAAGACGGTGTGGGTGCAGACCACCAGTCCTGACCTGGGCATCTGTCCACCCATGCTACCCCATTCTCTCCCCAGGCTGAGCTGAGAGGACTCAGGCCATACCGAGAACCTGAAGCGTCTGTGGGAGTCAGGCGTCACTCTGTGGCCCCCCAAGTTTGAACAGCAACACCAACAGTCCTGTTTTCAGCAGTCCTTCATCTACGGGAAAAGCTTCCCTACCTGGGCCTGGACACAGCCGCCAGCTGTCCAGGGAAAGAGCTGCGGGTGCCCACAGACCTTCCTGTCTGACTCAGTCAAGGACCTGTTAAAAGATTTCCCCAAAGTCCCAAGAGCCTCTCTGCCACCATGACCACCCCAACTACAACTACTGGGCAGACCCTGCCTTCCTGGGCGTGGCTAGGCAGCTGGCAGCTGGCAGCTAGGATTTGCTGAGGCCTGTGGCTGGAGGCCAGATGTGCTGTGGACAGGTCATGCTGACAGCTGGCGAGTCAGCGACGTATGGGGCTACTCCTGGTGGCTTTCGGTCCGCGTGCCTCAGTGTCCTCGGAGGGCAGGGGTGTGCGGCTTGTGAGCCCTGGGCAGCTGCCTGGGAGCCACTTCCCTGCCTCAGTCTCAGTACCTTCTGTGTCAGGGTCGCTGCCTGCTCCAGACCTGACTGCTGCACAGTCGCTCAATAAAGTCTGTTTTTACTGCCTTCCTGTCTGGCTTCTTTTTCCTGTTGTTAAGGAATTGCTAGCACCCGCAGTCTAATAGGGCAATTGACAGTGACTACAACTAAGCAGGGCGATTTGTACCTCCGAGTTTTTTTCTGGAGGTCACTTGCCTTCTCAATAGACAGCCTGGCTGGCTTGGGGCTTTCAGTTCATAGAAAAACAAGCAAAACACCTCAATCCCCCTGCTCCAAGGGCTTTGCTTTCTGGATTTCCATTTCCCCCAGAAGTTGGCGTCCCCGTTCTTGCTTAGAAAGACCCAGCACTGCAGCCAGGAGTGGGACGGTATTTGCTGCTCACATAGGGTGGGGGCCTCCTGTTCTGTGATTTTTTTTCCTCTTCTATTTTGTTTTTTTAAAAGATTTATTTATTTTGATTGGAAAGGCAGATATACAGAGAGGAGGAGGAGAAACAGAGAGGAAGATCTTCCATCTGATGATTCATTCCCCAAGTGACTGCAACGGCTGCTGGTGTACCAATCTGAAGCCAGGATCCAGGAACTTTCTCCAGGTCTTCCACATGGGTGCAGGGTCCCAAGGCTTCGGGCCATCCTCGACTGCTTTCCTGGGCCACAAGCAGGGAGCTGGATAGGAAGCGGGGCCACCGGGATTAGAACTGGCATCCATATGGGATCCCAGTGGATTCAAGGTGAGGACTTTAGCCATTAGGCTACGGCACTGGGCCCTCCTCTTCTATTTTGATTCTTGGCATCTTCTGGCTCCTCTCCAGCTGTGGTAGAGAGAGGTTGCCCTCCCACACACCTGTCTCCAGCCCCAACTTCTGTCTCTAAGTGTGGGCCGAGAGCTTCCTCACCAGACTATCATTGTCCGGAATGATGACAACACACTCATACTGTATTTAATCCATTTTAGCACGTTTCACTAAAGCGTGCCATTTCTTAACCACCCGAATTTCATATTTTTTTTTTCACAGAAGTGTCTCATTATCTTTTTGAGATGAAATGAAGACTCAGAAAAAAATAATAACTTGGAAAGTTAATGAATGGCAAAAGCAGTACCAGAAAATGAAATTTGTTTTTATTCTGAAATATGTGTTCCTTTTTGCACGTTAGCTCATGTTTCCTGAATAAGCCTTCCCTGCATATGCTACTCTGTCTTCAACACGCAGAGGTGGCAGGCACCGTCAGCGTAGACGCCCACCTGTAACCTTACAGACCATTCTGTAGTTTCACTTTCTGGTCATTCATTCCTTCAGCCGTTCATGGTGCACAGCATATGGGAGCAATGTTGTAGGGGCTGACATCTGAAGGAACACAGACGACCCGCCCTGTGTGCGGAGTTTCTCATTTCTCCACCTTTATTCTTGCCATCTTTCATTCTCGTGGATATTCCACAGCTAAGGAAATACACTTCAGGGGCCAGCATTGTGACATAGCAGTTCAGTTGCTGCTTGTGGCACTGGCATTGTATGTGGGCTCCAGTTTCAGACCTGGCTGTTCGTCCTCCGATTCAGCTCCTTGCTATTGCACTTGAGAAAGCAATGGAAGATGGCCCAGGTGCTTGGACCCTTGCACCCACATGGGAGACACAGAAGCTCCAGGCTCCTGCCTTAGGCCTGGTCATCTTCAACCACGCTGGCCATGTGTGGGGTGAGTCAGCAGATTTCCATAGCTGTAGCCATCGTTCTCCATGTTGTCCAACTTGTCCAACCCGTTCACGTTTCATCCCTTTGAGTCTACTCTTCCTTCCTTCCTCCCTCTTTCTCTTCCTTCTTTCACGTTTTTCTTAAGATTTATTTTTATTGGAAAGGTAGATTTACAGAGAGAACAGACGGAGAGATCTTCCATCTTCTGGTTCACTCTCCAGATGGCCACAATGGCCAGAGTTGAGCTGATCTGAAGCAGAGGAGCCAGGAGCTTCTTCCAGGTCTCCCTTGTGGGTGCAGATGGCCAAGGAATTGGGCTATCCCTTATTGCTTTCCCAGGCCATAAGGAGGGAGCCGAATGGGAAGTGGAACAGCTGGAACAGGACCCACTGCGCACAGGGGATGCTGTCCGCCAGTGTGACCTGTCTGGACACTCCCCCACCTCTCCACCAGTTACCACGTTGTGACAAGGACACCGTCAGCATTGAACACTTGAACTTCATGATTTGTTCTTGAGAGCAGTTCTTTCCCTTCAGAACAACTGCTAAGTAGATGTCAACATCAAAAGCAGGCAGTTTGTCATCTGCAGTTTCCACACTGGCAGCCTCTTTTATCTCTCGTCTCCCGGGAGGGTAGTTTTGGTATATTTCTAGATCGAAGTGATATTACATACTTGGAATCATGCAAATGGGTATTTCATGTCAGATTGGCTTCTTTCACTTGGCAGCAGTTCCTAAGCTCCGCTGCGAGGTTCTGTGGTTGGCAGCCTGCTTGTTTTATCCCTGAGAGCCAAAGTACCACCGTTTTCCCATTCACCTTCCGAATGACTCGTGGTTGCTTCCAACAAAAATTGGGTTTATGAGTAACAAAGCTGATATAAACATTCATTCCAGCACATTGAGAAAGAGAATAGAATTTTTTTACTGATTTGGGTAAATATCAAGGAACTCAGTTGCTAGAGTTTTCCTTGGCTCTTACTTCAAGACATTCTTCACATGTTGTCTCAATCATTTTATGTTTTAATTTCTACTCTGAATTGGGAAAGATGCCTATAGAATTACCGTTTTCTAGAACATTCATTTCTAGAACATTCACTTTCCTTAGTCATGTAATAAATTTCATGATTTTTCTTCTCTCCACCTGGTATTTTCTTTTTTTTCTAATTCATTTTTATCTGTTTCTATTAGACACTTCGAACGCCAAGAGATCTTTGATTCTAGCCCATAATTACAAATGTGGGAGCGGGGACTGCCAAGAGAGTACACTACAGGTGTGGAATGGTTTCTGGGGTCAAAGCAACCACTGGCATGCACAAGATTTGTGGCTGGGAGCAGGCCTGCTCAGGGATCTAAGGGGATGCTCCTACTGGGCTGCGATTCCCAGTGGCAAGTGTGAGAGCTGGGAACGGAGGCAAGTGAACTGGGCTGGGTAAGGCTGCAGCATCCTTCAGCATGTGTGCAGGATGGGTCTGGGAGTGTACCAGACTAGGTGAGGCTCCAGCACTAGCTGGCACTCGCTAGGGCCAGAGTGGATGTGGCATGGGCTGAGCTTGGACATGGCACCTGCCGATCCACATGAAAGCTGGGTCTGGGGGTGGACTAGGCAGGGTAGGGCTGAAGCACTCATTGGTGAGAGCTGGAATGGATGTGGGCCAATTGGGCAAGGCCACAGTAACCAACAGTGAATCCAGGACTGAAGGTAGGCCATGTTAGACTGGACCGAGCATCTACCAGTATATGTAAAATCTATGACTGAGAGCTGATCTGATAGGGGAACTTTGGAAACTCCCTCGTTAGGATGCAGCTTTCACGTGTGAGCCTGAGAACTAAGGCTGGCGGCAACCCAGGCCAGGCCGGGTTACAGTACCTGCTGGCATAAAACATGCGGGTCAGGAATGGGCCAGTTGGCTAGGCTGGGGCAATCTGCAGCAAACACCTGCAGGTATGAAAGCCAGAATGGAGTGCGGGATGGACCTTGTTGGGCTGCAATGCCTGCCAGTTCACTTTAGAGCCAGAACTGGGGGCTGGCTGGACTGGGCTTGTCTAGGCTGCAGCATCTGCCAGCATGAGCCGGAAAAGGTGGCAGGCTGGACAAAGCCAGGCTGCAACACCTGCTGGCAAATGCCAAGACGAGACAGGCCATGCCAGCACCCATAAGCACATCCAAGACCCCAGTTTGGGAGCAAAGCTGGTAGGGGAGCTTCATGGGCCTTCCTGCTAGGTCACTGCTCTCACTGATGAGCATGAGAGCTGGGACTGGGGGTGGACTGTGCTAGGCACTTCCTCCTGCATGTGAGCTGGGTATGAGCAAGAGTCAGGCTGGGTTAGGCCACTCCATTTGCTGGCACATGCAACAGTCAGAATAAGTGTGGGTTTTGCCACAATATCCACTAGCAAGTGCCAAGACAGGACAAGCTGTGTCACATTGGACCACAGTGCCCTCTGAAAAGTGCAAGATCTAGGGCTGGGAGTGAGCTTAGTAGGAAAACTGGGCATCCCTCTGTTAGGATGTGACTCCTGCTGGTAGGCATGAGAGCCAGGGCTGGGGTTGGACTAGGCTAGATGAGATGGCCGCACCTGGTGGCGTAAGTGTGAGCCAGATCTGGTAGTGGGGTCAGGTTGAGCTAAGCTGCAACACCCATAGGCATAAACAAGAGTCAGATGAGATGGGGGATCCGCTGGACTAATTTGCTGTACACACTGGCATGTGCAGGAACTCGAGTTGGGGATAGACCTGGTGGGAGTTGTTGGGGGTCATCCTGAACAGGCTGCAGTTCCTGCTGGTAAGCGAAAGGACCAGGTTTGTGTTGGGCTGGGTTGGATTAGGCCACAGCATCCGTTGGTTTGTGCATGAGGTGGGGCTGGGGGCAGAACTGACCAGAAAACTGCCTTCACCTCTGTGTGCATAGACTGATAATGGGGGACAGACTGAACCAGACCCTGCACTAGTTGGCGCACACAAGAGTCAGCCTGGGGTCACCCCAGGCATGGTTCCTGGGGAGACTCCTGATAGACCAATGGACTCAAACTCTGGCCACAAGGGGAATCACAAGCTATGCGGTCTGACCAGAGGATGTAGAGTGCCTCTTCAGAGGACGGACAGCAGAACAGCATGGACAATCCTCCTGGTCAAGCTTTGCAACAGGGCCTGTGCATGCACTAAAAAAGTGGATTTGGTCAGCTAAGAGATCTTGAAAAGTTTTTCAGTCTGGAGCAATGAACCCAACAACATCTCAGACCTATCAAAACCACTCGGGTAACACCCTCGGAACATTCCTCCCCACACTGGGGTGAAGATGGCATCAAGTAATGTGGATTGACACGAAGGAGTGGCCCTCTGCCCTTCCCCTACCCTGCAGGTGGAAGAGGGAAAAAAATGG